ACCGGAGAAAAACCAAAAAAAAAAAAAAAAAAAAAAAAAAAAGATATTTTAAAACATCATGTCAAACCAAATAAACATACACAATTTTATCAATTTAAATAAATAAAGCTGGATGCGGTAGCACATTCCTGTAATCCCAGCACTCTGGAGGCTGAGGCAGGAGGATCACCATGAATTCGAGGCTAGTCTGGGCTACATAAGCAAGTTTAAGGCCAGCCTTACTACATAGCAAGACTCTGTCTCAAAAAAACCAAAACTAACAAAATAAATAAATAAAATTTAAAAACATAGTGTCACTTATAAGATTGAAATGTTGAAATCTACAAAACACTGATTTTTTTTTAAATCAAAGAAGATATAACTAAGTTAAGAAATACACAGTGTTCATGGATTTGGAGACTCAATGTAATAAAGAGGTCAGTTCTCCCCAAAGTGCTACACAAATGTAACCTAATTCCTATCAACAGCTCTGGGAGCTTTTTTTGTAAATATAGACAAGATTATTCCAAAATGTATAAGGAAAGACAAACTAGAAGAACTAACATAATTTTGAAAAAGAAAGTGAAAGAGTCACTATTCAATTTCAAGATATGTAGCCATGGCAATTAAGGTTAACGATGTGGTATTGAAAGAGAGATAGACACATACATCAACGGGGTAGAAGAAAGAAATCCTGAAATACCCACACACAAGTACAGATAACTGATTTTTTACAAAGATGCAAAAGCAATATCAATGAAAGTTGGATGGTCTTCTCAGCAAATGGTTCAGGAGCACTTGGACATCCATCAACAAAAATATGAACCTTGACCTAACCTCATATTTGACACAAAAATTAACTCAAAATGGATCATAGATTTAAATGTAAAATGTAAAACTATGAAACTTTCATAAGAAACCACAAAATAAAATCTTTAGGATGTAGGACTAGGCAAGGTTCTTATACTTCTTTTAAAAAACATAACTGGGGAGCCATGACATAGGGATAATTCTGGCACTTTAAATTATTACATAGGGCAGAGGAGGTAGCTCAGTGGTAGAGTACTTGCCTAGCATGTGTAAAGCTCCAGGTTCAATTCCCAATACTGAATGAATTAACAAAAATGAATGAATAAATAAAATTCCCATATGAACAAGCCAAAGGCCAACATAAACAGTGACTTGAAATTAGAAACTGAGTGCCAATCAGAAACAATGAACTGATCTCTAACTAGAGACTAAGCAAAATTGTTTTCTTTGTCTTGCTTCTGCAAACACTTTTTTGTTTTTGTCTTTTTGAGACAGGGTCTCGCTATGCAGTTCAGGCTGGTCTTGAGCTCACTTTGTAGCCCAGGCTGGTCTCCAACTTGCAACGATTCTCCTGCCTCAGCCTCCTGAGTGCTGGGATTACAGGCGTGTGCCACTACACCTGGCTGCAAACACTTTATAAAATAATAGTTTCCCCCTTTGTCTCTCAGGAAAGTCCTTGCTGTTTGGGGTCTGGTGTTGCCTTGATTTATGAATTGCTGAATACTCAACTCTTTAAAATTTAAATGTGTTCAAGTTTTCCTTTGATCACACTTGAAACCAAAAGCATGATCCATAAAGGAAAACATAACAAATTGGATTTCAGCAAAATTCTTAACTTTTGCTCTGCAAACGTGTCTGTTAAGAGGATAAAAGACAAGTTTCTGTCTGGGAGAAGATATTTGTAAACCATAAGTGTTAATCAGATTCCTGTTACTGTAACAAATACCTGAGCTAATCAACTTATAAAAAGAAAATGGTTGAGGCTGGGGATTTAGCTCAGCAGCACAGTGACTGCCTGGCAAGAGCAAGGTCGTGAGTTTGATCCCCGGCACCTGAAAAAAAAAAAAAATTAAAAAAAGAAAGAAAAAGGTTATTTTGCCTCACAATTTTAGAGGTTTCAGTGGGTTGGCCCTGTTTGCCGCTTCAGGGCTTGTGGCAAGACAAGCACATCATGGTGGAATATGTGGTGGAGCAAAAGTGCATAATGGAGGAAGGAAAGAGAGGAAGAGCAAAAGACTGGTGGTCCCACAATCCCCTCTAAGGGCAGCCTCCCAATGACCTAAAGACCTCCCACTAAGCTCCACCTCTTAATTTCCCCCACCTTCCAAAAGCACCGTAGGCCAGGAAGCAAGCCTTTAATACATAAGCCTTTGGAGGACATTCCAGATCCAAACTATAACATCACATAGCCAACAAAGGTCTAGGATTTAGAATGTACAAAAAAAAATAGTCTCAAAACTCAACAACAACAAAAAATAAATGTGACCAGACATTCTGCCAAGGAAAATATACAGACAGCTAATAAGCACATGCTTAATCATGAGAGAACTATTTCCCCTGCTCTTCCCACCAAGGTTTACCAAAACTCATTACTTTTCCTGAGGCCATTCCCATTCCCCGTCACCTCCCATTTTCCCTCTCCCAGCCCCACCTTCTCATGCACTCTTATATTCTCAAACTGGCCCAACAACCCAGCCCCAACTCCCTTCAAAAACTCAGACAAGCTGCCTTCCCTGATTTAATCTTCATAGGCTCTGTCTACCCCTAAATTAGTGCTCGCATCTACTTCACACTGTCACCCTTCTCTCGGTATCCAGAGGAAGGCAGTCCTGGGGCAGTTCAGTCTTCCCGAGTTGGACCAGCTGCTGAGAAGTGAGGCAGGGTGAAAAGTGAAGAGGGGCCTTCAGGCCTCGGGCATAAGCAAGAGGCTGTCATCACGCCGCCAAGTTCTTGCCTCTCTTCTGTCCTCAGATAAGCAAGATAAAATGGATGAACCCAAGGTTCTCTATTCCCTAAGTACTGAAAGGCCTTATCCTTTCAAATCAGTGTTAAATGTGACACTTACAGCCAGCAAATGACAGGTCAGATTTCCCAATGCAGAAGGGGGGCGGGTACCAGAGTGTGTGTGTGTGTGTGTGTGTGTGTGTGTGTGTGTGTGTGTGTGTGATCCATAGGGACAGATATATCCAGAATGAAAACAGTGGAGGGCGGAGGCCCTCAGGATTCTTTGAAACCCCAGGTGGAACCTAGGTCGCACACACATCCTGCCTGGACCTTTCCTGCCCAGCTGGGATATCCTGTGTTTGTCGAGAGGACCACACGGGGAAGCTGTGACCATTGTCCTTTCCGAAATCTGTCAGTGAGCCGCTCCCCTGAGCTGAGGCAGCCACCCCAGGCAGAGGAAGAGTGACTCTGGAAACACGTTATCAGCATCCTCCATGGACTTCCTCACCTCCTCCCTGGCCTCATTAGCCCCGAGCGGATCAGCATCTTCAAACAGAAACCTGGGAGGTTGGAACGAGGTCAGCACCCTGAAACCCAGCCCGCTGCTCTGTGGCCTTCCTCTCCAGCTGAGCCTCCGTGCAGCCCTGCGTGGCCGCTGAAGGCGCAGCCCTGAGCTCAGGATGGAGCCCCGGCTGGTGCCTGAGGCTGCCGCTCTCTCGCCGGCCCTGCTGCTGTTGGGGCTCTCAGCGCTGAGCTGTTCTCTCTCCTCGCCAGCTTCTCCCCCTCCTTCTCTGGTGCCCCGAGTCAGAACCAGCTACAGTTTGGGACGGACCTTCCTCGGTCTTGATAAATGCAATGCCTGCATTGGGACATCTATTTGCAAGAAGTTCTTTAAAGAAGAAATAAGGTCAGAATCTCAATCAAATCACTGTAAGGGGCAAAATTCTGTTCTCTTCATTGAAGATGTCCAGAAATTTGTTAAAAATGAGTCAGGATGTAATTGATGGGTGGGAGCTGAATCAAAGCCATTTCTTGATAGCAGTAATGGTCGAAGTGGGTAGGAGAGCAGTGGCTACAGCCACACTCCTGCCCTCAATGCTGAATCCAAAGGTCCCTTTTGAAATGAAAGTATGACATTTTCTTTTCTATGAATGGTGCAGCCTGGAGCTATTGTGTTTTCCAAGTTTATTTGTCATGGTGGGGGCAACAAAGTTTTTTAGAAAGCCTACTCTGTGTGGACATTTGAAATCATCCTGGGTGTTAAAGTTTACACCCATCATTCCGTTGGTGAACTGTGACATAGTGAGATTAAGTGTCTCGGTCAAGGGCACCGCCTAGTAAGCAGCAGATGTGGAATTCAAACTGGAATAGTTTGCGCCAAAGTTTCAGAGCGTGTTATCTGTTGAGAGATGTTACCTTGATCAGAGGAAAACTAGAGTTTTTGCGACACGCAGGGCTCTCGCCAAAGAATGGTATCACACTCTGGAATTCAAGCTGATCAACACAAGGTCAAGGAGATTTAACCAAGGCCAGGGTTAGCGCAGATGCTGTAGCGAAGGAGGGAGCCATGTTACAAATAATAAGGCTTGGTCTGATGCAGACCAAGGTAAGGAGCTCCGAAGAGGGGACCTGAACTCAAAACGGAGATGGCGAAAAGGCTTCTCCAGGGGGAAGAATTCTGAGCAAGGTCTCAAAAACTGAGCTGACATTTTGTGGGAGGGAAGGGCTTGAGGCAGAAGAAGTAGCTGAAGCAAAAACTCAGAGGTGCAGGAAGCAGTGAGAGGGGCTTTATGGCTGGTGTAGCAGGGAAGCAGGGAGGATGTATGGGCCAGGGAGCCTTGAATGCTGTGCTAAGTACTGAGACTTTAACCTGTGAACCGATGGCTCCTGGACTTTTCCAGTACCAAAGAGCGAGTGTCACACACCCCTTCTCTTCTGCCCAGCCCCAAGGCCCTATCATGCTTTTAAGACTCAGTGACAAAACAAAAAGCATAAACAATGATTTTATTACCAATCTGTATTATACAAAGACAATTTTGATTATTCAACTAAATTAGTAAACAAAAGTCATAAATAGAAAGTACCCATTGAAAATGCTACACTTCTTTTGAGGGATCACAGATAGTTTAGGAAGTTTGTGTGAACATTTCCTATTAAGCCTTCTTACGGGGATTTTCAAAGGTCCAAAGAGGCTCAGCTGGGGCAGCGGCAGTGCAGGCAGTGCTGATGGTGGTGAGCGGGGAAGGGAACCATGAGGCCTGTTACAGGATGGACCGGAGTTGCCGGCAGGGCTTGTGAGAGCAGTTCAGCCAAGTCATGGGGGAAAAGGGAGGCGGGAAGCATCCAAGTCGGTTCAACTACACAGTCACTTCGTTGCCTGACTGGACGTGAGATGAAGTGAAGACGGAGGTGTTGAATGGGAACTTAAGGTTTCCCATCTCGGAAAAGGGACGAAGAGGACCGAGAGCACAGGTGAAGTAGCACTGGCTCCTCCGAGGAAGGAGGCAGTGCAAACATGGATATATCTTAAGATAGTTTAAGATAGGAGGGAAGGAAATTAAGGGACTCAACTGAAGAAGAGCTCTCGGTTCCCTTCCTCCTTATTCACCAAGTGCCGACAAACAAGGTTTTTCTTCTCCGGCAGGTACTGGCCAAACTCAGAAAGCCTTATCCTCAATAGGTTTGTGCTCTATTGGCACTCAGGATATTACTTCACCTCCCTTGGAATTCATTTTCCATGTGTGCCTGAAAGGAAAGGGTACAGATACACACGGGAAAACACCAGGCAGGGCAGGGGCAGGGCGACAGTTCTGCACACTGAGAATGTTCATGCTCGGCTCAAAGAGGCAGAGAGAAGCCAGGTGCTGTGGTGCACGCCTGTAATCCCAGCACTTGGGAGCCTGAGGCAGGAAAATCTCTGAGTTCAAGGCCAGCCTGAAGTACATAGGGAGACTGTGTTAAAAAACAAACCAAAACCAGAAAGAGGCAATGAGTGCGTCTGAAGAGGTAGACTTGTTTATAATCCTTCTCTCTGCGTTATAAATAACTTTTTTTCTTACTAGAAAAGTTGTACCTGTTTATTTTAGATTATCAAGGAATACTGACTAAGAGTAATGCAAAATGAAAACCATGTATAATTCTTCCCACAAGAGAGCAAACACTTTGCTGTACAGCCCTACCACCCTTTTTCTAAATAATAATGGATTAAGAAATGCTTGCAACAAAAATGTGGTCATATTAGGTTTACTATTTGGGGAACTTGTATTTACAAATATAACAGGAACATCTTCCCATATGATTAAATATTCTTCACAATTGAATTCTTCATGCTTTTGTGAGATTCAATGCATCAATTAGCCATAATTTATTTAACTAATTCACTACCATGAGATGGCCTAGGATCTTTTTTCACTTTTCAGTATTATAAAATTTTTGTATTAGTACGTGTTTGCAGTGTACGCAGCTTACAGTCATCTTAGGGAGCAGGCAGAGGGACAGAGTACAGTTCACTTGTTTTTTTAATCCCCTTGCCCTTTCCTCCTTGCTCTTCCCCTCCTCCTCTGATTCAGTATTAGAAAGCGTTATGATGAATGTTTCTGTGGTGAGATTTTGTGCACATCCTTGATTAATTCCATGTGAAAAACTCCTAGAAGTAGGATTTGTGGTTCAAAACATATGGCACGTGTGTGTGTGTGCGTGTGTGTTTATACCCACATGGAGACTTCTACGTAAAGTTTACTCTTGCAAATATTCAATATTGCTATAATTTCATTTGTATTTCTTCTGTTCTGAGCTGAGTATTTTTTCAGATTTATCAGTCATTTGTATTTCTTCTTTGCTTGTCTATACATCAAGGTTTCTTTGCTCTCCACTCCCCCTCAAATTATTCACTCATTTATGTGTTTGTTTTGGTACTGGAGATTGAACCCAAGGCCTCGTGCATGCTAAGCATGTGTGCTACCATACCTGCACACCCAACTCCCCTTTCCCTCTTTCTAAGGAGATGTTTGTTCATCTTGTTCTTGTCAATCTCCAAACAGTTCTCCACTTTTAAAAATGATCACCATTAAACCTCAAGAGAGCTGGGCGTGGTGGTGCACACCTGTAATCCCAGCACTCAGAAGGCTGAGGCAGGAGGATCGTTGTGAGTTCGAGACCAGCCTGGGCTACAAAGTGAGCTCAAGGCCAGCCTGAACTGCACAGCAAGACCCTGTCTCAAAAAGACAAAAAAAAAAAAACAAAAAACAAAAAACAAAACACAAAAAACAAAAACCTCAGAAGAAAGCCCAACTAAACTCTGAGACATTTGGCTGTGATGCTCTAACCAGGCCAGCATGCAGACTCCAGCTCTGGTCCTTATTAAGGACTACACGATGCTTGTATCTGTTCAATGGCAAACAACAATGGGCCTCTCAAGCTGGTGGGTAGCTGGACACTTGTGCTCCGTGGATGATTGGTAGATGCTTTACCTCACCTTCCTGATTGCAGGTATTTGGTCTAACATCCCCAAACCGCTACCCCCAAAGTCTTAAAAAATGTTTAAACATTTCAACAGACTAGCAGACAGCTGACAGTAAAGAAAGAAATCGCTAAGCTGGGTACTTCCGCCCCTTCTCCCTTGCCTCTTGTCCCTCTTCACCTCAGAAGATAATAGTGATTATTGCTTTAACTCATTTCCTGACACCAACTCAGAGGCCTTGAGAGTTGCAGGGCCCTGGAGTGCACAGAAAAAGTGCCCAACGACACATTCCGTCATCCAGTGGGTACGTTTGCACCCATTCATGTACCAGTCACCCACCCATTCAGCCAGGCATCCCTCTGTGTATGCTCTCACCTACCCATCACTTCGTGTATGCCAGCATCCATCCCCCCATGTACATCTCCACTCAGTTCTCCATCTGTACATCCAAACACCCGCCACTTACCCATCTGTACATCCAAACGCTTATCCATCCACCTGTGTACCCACCCAACCATAAGGTATTGAGCACTAACCTGGTACCAAGCGCTGTGCTGCACACTGAGTTACAAAGTTGAAAGAGACCATATCCTTGTCCTGAAGGAGTTTACTTTCAACCAGGATGACCGAGAACTAAATCAATGGTTAAATCAAAGTACTAGGACAATATGTACAAAATGTCCTACACAGAGTGTTATGGCAGCATGTGGGAAGGAATGGATACCAATTAGGAGACCAGGGAGTGGCCGTCAGAAGATCCGCTGTCTGGGATGTAAGCGGTTAGGAAGGTGTTATCTAGACAAGAGGAGGAAGAAATTTTCTTGTACAAAGCGATCAGCACATGCCAGAGGAGTAGAGGCTCACAGGCCCAAAAGAATGTGGCTTATCCAAGGGTAGCCAGTGGTTTGGTGAGACTGAAGCAAGCTTGTAAGAGGAGCAGAGGCAAAGGACCTAGAAAGCGCAGTGTGAACTGAGCTAAGGTATGTGACTGTGTCCCAAGAGCTTCGGGAAAGTGCGGCATGGTTTCAGGTTTCGGTTCGGAGCTGGGGGATGGAGAAGCGAGGAAAGGAATATTTAGGAAGGCACATCTGTGTGCAAGAGAAGAGGGCATTTCACTGTGATTCCAGCGCCGCCCCTCTTTCACACATACCCCCCTACTCTCCATGTTGAGGGGCTCAGAGAATTAGCCTTGGTGCTTCCTTCCAGCTCTGAGAAACTATGAAACTATAACCCATACTCTTTACTTTTTCTTTTCAATTTTTTATTTTAAAGAAAGAAAAATAAAAAGAAATAAAAACAATGATACAGAGTTTCAAAGTAGGATAATAAGAAATTAACAATGGTTAACATATTGCATAGTGTTGTCTTCAAAGTACTTGCTCAGATTACAAGATATAGGCATGCAAAATTAATCAACCAATATAAGCACAAACCAATCTTTTCAATGA